GCTGCTGATGATCTTCAGGTCTGCAGCCACTGGTGAGATTCTTCTGGCTTTTTTCTTTTTCCACTCTTTGTGTGTCGGATAATCTTTCACTTGTAATTTTTTGTTATTGGAAAATCTTTTTTCATAATTATCCTTCCAAGTTTACTGATCTTAGTACAGTTAATAAGTATGACATTAGTTTCTCGAAATCTCAGATTGCTAATGCACATGTTTCTTCTTGTTTGTAGGTTGTATGCACATGTTTGTGATTTAAAACATTTCCTGAATTAAGTTTGGACACATTCTTACAAACTTGGATCTCATGATTGATTATCGGAAAAGTGATTAGCAATATAAGTTGGTGAAACTGGTAGAAGTCATATATGAAATATATAATTTAGTTTGATTGTTTCACAAAGAAGTTAATTTGTAACTTCTTTATGCTTAATAACCATTTATGTCTTGATAAGGAACAGTGAGTTCTCTTATCTCTGATTGTTGTGGCAAATGGGGCTTTACTAGTTAATTACAATAAATTTTAAACAGTATATTATGATTGATTGGGCTCCGTTGTATTAGGTGTACTCAACTCGTTATGGATCTTTTTTAACTTTTTGAATTCTAGAGGTGGTCTAGACTAATTGATACTCAGTTTGAGGTCATTTACCATGTTTAAGGTCATTGTGCAAAGAGCGATTTGCAATTTCCTTGAAGAATATTTTCTTTTCAGCATAGAATATTTTCTTATTCAGTTGGTAGTTCTGTGTCTGCACCATGCACTCAGTTTATCTGTTGCAGCAGAAACACCTCTTCGGAGCAGTTCATTGACAAGTGGATCACTGGGAAGATTGCTTGCACCTCGTCGATATAACTTCAAGGATGACATGGAGATATTTTCTCAACTATTGGAAGTTCAATCAAATACTCATTCATTTGATCAGTTGTGGGATGGTAAGGGTTCAAAGAAAGATTTTGATTACAATTCATCTACTTTGTTCCCTTCTGCGAGTTTTGCTCTTTCATAGGAAGGTGGTGGTCGTGATAGCCATCCAATTTTTGACTGAAAACCTCCTTCAACATCTAAGCAGGTGTGCTTCTTAACCATTTCATCATTTTTATTTTATTTTATTTTATCAATGCATCAATGTTGTATGATTTACATTTGTTGCTTGATATAGAATAAAGTGTAAATGTAGAGATGCTATAATCATCCAATAGCAAGGGTAAGAACTTGTAGTTCTATGCTTTACTAGATTTAATTCATTATAATCTTTTTCGTTCATACAACTAGAAACCAGTAATCTATGCATGCATAAAGCATATTTTCTCCATAAGGTCTCATTATAACCAAGTCTATAGCGACAATCTAGGAAACTTAAATCAGCTGTCTGAAAAGAAGCTTTTATGTGGAGCATCCCCTATGAAGTGTAAAGAAGTATTTGTAAAGGTAAGTTCAGAGAAACATGTGAAGCTTTGCTGCCTGAATATTATTTTTTGGGCAAAAGTAGAATGACACCAACCTCAAATTTTTATTTCCTTATCTGCTTCTTGTTATAGAGGAGGACAATTTGTCATGAATAATTGATGACTGTTAGGTTTAGTCCTGATTTTGTTCACACTAATGGTTGCATAAAATAATTAACCACTTTGATGTTACCATT